ATTATTTACAACTAATTTAAGCGAATTTAATCTATTATGCGAAACCTTAACAATGACCGCCATTATAAGTAGTAACCCAGTTACATAAATTTAAAGAAGTCAAGTCCATAAAACCAGTTAATGGGAATTTGAAATAAATGCCGTGTAAAGAATGAGCCACGTTTGAGCTTAAGATGATTTTATGTCTTCAGCGCGTTCAGTCGAGAAGATGTATGGAAAAGTCTGAGGGAAAATAAAATGATTGAGATGGTAAACCACAAGTAATTCCTGCTTATACATCAGCTGGGAAAATTACGCATCCTTCTGACTTGACATATTTGGGGCATTTGGCGCAAAATAAGCAGATTACATTTGAATAACTCTTCACGTTTTGACTGCAAATAATGCATGCAGTGGTTATAAAATATTCTGATTTAAAACCACCAGTTTTAAATTAATTAGTCAAAAGTTCGAGCTATATTTTATAAAAATTACAATGGCAACGTTCAACTCAAAATCAATCGATGCAAATAACTGAATGATAGATTTCCATTGAATCATTGAAAGAGAATCGGATTAGAGAACTGATTTTATTGCACTTTTTCCGTGTTTGCTGTTCGTGCAGATAAAATCTTTATTAGTAAATTTCTCTTCGTGAAAAAGTGCTTTCCTTACCGTTGACTGCTATTTCACTTTTACCATGTTTCAGGTCACCAATTGCTGCCAAGACAAACCTTGCCAATTATCTTCGCTTTATTTGGGATAAATGTTACAGAACCGGAAAGAGACCATTATTCGCGATAAAAGGTGTATCAAAATGGTTCCTTTGTATGTAAAACATAATAGATAAACTGGTTCGGATCGCGGAGATACGGGAAAATTTCCGACCTCCACACCGACCACCGTAACCATATATAAACAATGGTGTTAAACGAAAGGATTTAATTACAGCCTGAGTTCAATCATACAAACAACAAAACAGTGCAAAAATGAGCAACCTGTTGAAGCTTTCGATCGCTTTTGCTGTCGTTTCCGTTATTTCATGCCAGGTAATTGGACAAGTGAAAACCGTCCCATTAGTGGTGTTTGATTGTTAAAATTGTGCTGTTTGAAAAGTGGAATCAAAGTGAAACGAATAATTTGCTATTTTGACTAAAATGTAAGTTTATTGCAGGACTTTACTGAAGAGCAACGTAAAAAAATCATCGAAAACCGTCAGCAATGCATTGAAGAAACCAAAGTGAATCCGGACTTGATCGAAAAAGCCGATCTGGGCGACTTTGCCGAAGACCAGGCATTAAAATGCTTCACCAAATGCTTCTACCAAAAGGCCGGTTTCGTGAACGACAAGGGCGAAGTTCAGAAGGACGTAGTTGAGGCCAAGTTGCCACCTCAAGCCGACAAGAAAAGAGCATTAGAAATCGTCGATAAATGCGCTTTAAAAGGAAAGGACGCTTGCGAAACCGTGTATTTGATCCACAAATGTTACTTTGAGCACACCCATCCGGAGGCCGACGAGAAAACTGCTAAGGATGGCAAGAGCGAAGAGAAAAAGGCTTGATTTTCTTCAGCATGTGCTAGTCAATTAATTTATTGTGATTTTTAGCTTATACACTACTGAGTTAGTAACGTACGAAAGTTTATGCATATTTTTGGTGAAAATATATTAAAGTTATTCAGTATTATTGTGTGAGTTTTCCTGTTGCTAAAAACCCCCCGAGTGACTCATCTTGAGCATTTTCTGACTCAGAGGATTAGATGAAGAAGAATTCTAATAAATAAAAATATGAATCGCTTGAGTTTTTCGGGATTTTATGTCATCGAAAGGCAAATCCCGAAAAACTCAGCACCGCGATGGCCGAGAAAGCCAAACTATTTGAATATTTTATAGCCTTTTACTAATTGTTCCGAAAGGATTTTGCAAAACGGCCTAAAAACACCAGTTTCTATTGCAAAGTCTTATAGCAAATTAGAAATAAACGTGCTTTATTGTCTAGAAACTACATGTTTTCAGTGGTCTTGAATCAAAAAATCTCAAAAAAATGCTTTTGCAGAAAAATGACGAGCCAAGCCGACCATCAGAAGAGATTGAATCTCGAAAGGGCCACGAACTTCATGAGACAATATCGAGATCCCAATTCACGGGAATTGAAGAAACTCTCTGCGAACCAATTTATGGAGGTTTGGAGCCATTACGACAAAGACGGTGAGTTTTTCTCAATACCAAAAGTTATTTTGCTTTTCTCGTTTAATATGGTAAAACTCCATCGATGCTGATCTATTGGCATTATAAAAGCAAAAGTTTTCATACGTGGTTTGCGCAAAACATGAAACGTGTTTTTTAATGAGTTGCTCTGAATTGCTCGCTTCTTTAATAAGAAAATTATGTCAAATTTAAGGCGTTTTGAGAGTGTTGATATTTTTTGAAAAATCCTGAAAATCAAAAATCAAAAATTTTCTTGCGTGTTTTTTGAGCCGAATGGATTTTTTCCGACCTAAGAAACTGCTTAATGTGCATATMTRAAGTGTTTGGGTTCTTGAAAAAAATGCTGCACAGTTTCAAGCATTTTGAGAGYTTTTGGATGTTTTGAAAAAATCCATTCCTTATGAAGTTTTCAGGGAAAGTTCCATTCTTCTGGCRCTCATTGTGAATGCTGAAAGAAAGTTCTCGCGCAAACCACATCGAAGAAAAATGCGAAAAAACCAGCAAATATTTCCAAAGTTTCGTAATTACTAAATCTAAGCTTCTCAAATGAGTAAATCTTAATATGCTATGTACCTAAGCTAACCAATTTAATTAAAACAGAGCCTGCAGGGCAACTAATTTGCCACGAACATCACTGACGTTCGCCTAACGGGTGAAATTAAACAGTTCGATTAGAGAGAAAATCACTTTGATAAAGAGAGGTGTTCCGCGTTGGATTAACATCATTAAGCCCAACTAACTCAAGTGGAGTTAGAATCCAACGGATTTAGTTTCAGCGGAGTTATAGAAAATCAATATTTGACAAAGTTTCCTTGAAGAAGCCTGAAAGTTCAATGGAACTCTAGCAGCTTCTATGATTGCGATGGGCATTTGACAGAGTAGTTATGGGGCAAAAAATCATTCAAATATTGTTATTTTCCGCTAACTAATTTAAGTCTTGGAGAGAAAGACACTCTTGCTGAAGTCGCTTCGCTTCTTGGGCCCATTTACTTAACGTTGACTGAAGCCTGCTTTTGTTCGTGTTAAATTACTTGCTTATTGGAGCATCGCAAAGCAACTGCAATCGAAAAATTGCTCGACAAATGAGATTTTTAGCTCAGAAGCCCCTAAAAACTAACGAGGAAACTGAAGCCGTTTGTGATCAAGTCGCATTTTTTCAGGAAATGGATACATCGAAGGAACCGAACTGGATGGGTTTTTGAGGGAGTTTGTTTCCAGCGCCAATGCAACCGACATTGGCCCAGAGGTAGGGAATAGTTCCTCATATTTTGCAAATATTTATGAAACACCATTTTCCCCACTTAGGCTGTATCGGACGATATGCTGATTGAGCTGAAGGCCTGCTTCATGGAGGCCTACGATGACAATCAGGATGGGAAAATTGATATTCGCGAGGTAGGAATTTTTACAAAACGTATACAATTTTCAATTGGCAAAAAGAACTGGGAAAATACATGTATTGAAAGGTTTTAAAGTGTGATTGCAGTTCACACCTAAATCGTGTATGGTAAAACATGCAAATGGATTGGTCCTTCGAGCCGGATGAATCATTAATTCTGAAAGCTTTTCACACATCCGAAGCCAGTCCATGCACTAAAGCTGGCAAAAGGGTACAATTGCTTTAGCTGCGTCCAATCTTTCCCTTTTCACTCGTAAAACTCAGTTGAAAAGCTAAACTATCTAACAAAACTAATGAAGCAACAACCGATAGGATTCTTTTATCAAGAAACTCTCCTCCTCTTTACCTGCTAGACGATTGCAGCAGACAAAATCAATAACTCTGGACAAATTTTCCATTTCACTTTGGTTGCACATGGCACCTGATTTTGCCGATTTCCTCACGTTTCAGCTGGCTCAATTGTTGCCGATGGAGGAGAACTTTTTGCTACTATTCCGCTTCGACAATCCGCTAGAGTCCAGCGTCGAATTCATGAAGGTACGTACGGAAACTGACTTCTAATCCAGAGCTACGGCATTTAATTAACGGCCCAAATTGCGTCTGTTTGATGCCGATGCTACATTATGAAGGGACTTTGGCTGGGGTTCACTCGAAATTAGGTTGGTAAGGGCGGTTAAATCGCTACACGTTTGTACATGTTGCCTTTGACAACATAACTAATTGGGATGGTGTTGGACGGTGAATTTATCCAGCAGGTAAAACAGAATTTAGCAGAAAATCAACGGTTCTAAACGGTCAAATCGACGGCTATATTTTCGGTTTGTTTATCATTTTATTTACTTCAGATGAAAAAATGTCGGCAAATAATCAACTTATGGCATCCATTCGACACGTTTATTAACTTCCATTCTATTTCCCCACGCTTTCCCAGTACGTCTAGTTCATCTCGTAAAACACGGAAATAATAGGCTGTCAGCCCAAACACGTAACTCCGCTCGGACTCGGATCGGAATTATTTTCTTTTCCACGTTTGGCCTCCTATTTCGAGACGATCTAATCTTATTACGGAACAGGAACTCATCAAATGGCCCACAGGGCACACAAAATGAGGCCATAAATCCAAGTTGGGGTTTTGTGATGGAATGTTTTCCTTTCTGTATGGTCACTAGTTGCTTCTGAATGTCCACAAGAATTAAACAAGACGCGGAAAAAAATCATTGAAAGGATTCTGAAATTGCCATACAGTCGGTTTTGCTGCAGCAAAATACTATAATTTTAAATTGTAATCCGCAGTAATACACAGCTGTTGATTTTGTTCAATTCCAGCACCCTTAAATCCCAAGTCCTCACTTTAGCAGAAAAATAACTGGCTGTTTCTGAATTCCTCCAATAAAACACGATTGCAAAATTTTGATTTTTGGTCAAAAATTTCATAAGGGGCGAGTAAGAGGTCGATTTTTCCAAGAAAATCAAGTTTTTCAAAATACCTCGACTGCTACATCATTTTCATCGGAAAGAGACAGGGAATGCAACCAGCTAATTAAAAGACACCGGGGCCTTTCCAGTTTCCAAATAACCAGCATTTTCTGTCTATTTTGACCAGTTTTTGAGCGGTCGCAATCTTCAACGGACGATATCTTCCTTATTTTCGACCCACAGCTTTCATATTCCCCATTGGGCAGCTTCTTAGGTCGGAAACAATCCAATAAGGGCAAAAAACACGATTGCGAAATTTTGATTTTTGGTCGAAAATTTCATAAGGGGGAATAAGAGGTCGATTTTTCCAAAA